AAGAAGGGAAACCGGTCTGTAGTTCTCTAAAAGAGATGGGTAAAGGGTGGGTTTCTTAGGTAGTGAGGTTTTACGAGCCTGTCTAAATGCTGAGGGAAAAACACCAATGTGAAGGGATTTGTTAATTATGTGAGTGAGTGCAGGGATAACTGCAGGAGAAATGGCTTGAAGGAGATGAGATCAGAATCAGAATCAGAAATACTTTATTAATCCCCGGAGGGAAATTAGGTTCATTACCACAGCTCCAAAACACCAAGATAAAAATAACAAATAGAAATCTATATACAAGAAATAAAACTAAAACTGGAATAGGATCAAGCGGACAAGTAGTAGGATGATTAGAAAGGATGAGTTTGGAGACTTCTGCCTCAGAGAGTGAAAAGAAAGATGTGAACAAGTGTCTGCTTGACAGATTGTGGTGTGAAAAATTGTGCACTGATGGTTGTAATTTTATTAATGAAGAACATGGCAAAGACGTCAGCTGTTAGAGTTGATGAAGAGGGGGAGGAGGAGGACAAAGGAGGGAGGAAAATGTTTTAAAGAGCATGCGAGAGTTAGACGAATTGTTAATTTTGTTATGATAGTATGTCCTTTTAGCAGTGGAGACATTAGCAGAGAAGGAAGAGAGGAGTGACTGATACACATTAAGGTCAGTAGGATTTTTTTATTTGCGCCACACCCTTTCAGCAGCCCTGAGCTTAGAACAATGTTCTCGGAGAACATCAGACAGCCAAGGGGCAGAAGGAGTGGTACGGGCTGGCCTGGAAGACAAGGGGCATACAGTGTCTAAACAAGATGTGAGAGTGGAGCAGAAAGTATCAGTAGCACTGTTAGCATCAAGAGATTTGTGAGTAGCCGTAGTTAACACTCTTGAGATCAAAAGAGGCAAGCAGAGTGTAGAAGTCTGCAGCCTGAGGTTTATCTAGGAGGATGTTGAAATCTCCAAGCATAACTAGGGCATAACTAGGGTAGTACCATCCTCAGGACAGTTTGAGAGCAGAACATCTAATTCATCCAAGAAGTTACCTTGTGGTCCTGGGGGTCGAGAAACAACTACAAAATGGATTTTAAAAGGGTGGGTAATAGTGACTGAATGTGATTCAAAGGAGCTGTTAATACCCAGAGAAGGTAAAGGAATATATTTCCAGTGGTAGTAATAGTAGGGATATGGAAACACATAATAAGATTTGGTCATAAAAACTGAAACAGAAGTGAACCAAGGTGTAGAAAAGAGGATGAATCAAAAGCGATACTTATGTCCCTGCATGGTGGAGTCGCACGATAGAGTCGATGGTCTTTACACTCTTCGGTCTTCACACGAGGGCTGCTGCGACCGCTGATGCGGTATACTAACCTTTTTTATACTCATTTGATTTGTCAAGGAACAAATCAACCGTGGCAAGGAACAACAGAAATTGAATTCAGCTAAACACACTTTACTGTTTATCACAACAAAGGACTAAGCAAGCACATGACACTGACAAGGTATGCGAAACAGTACGAGACCAAACATGACTTCAGCACGTCTCAACGCAGTAAACAAAACAAGCATTTTCTAGCAATGACAACTGCCCTAAACACTAATGAGACAAGCAATAAATACACTTACGAGCGGCTTTTAACTTCCTCTGATTGACTGCTTTGCTCAAAGAGTATTTCTTTACACTGTCTTTTGCTAGCGCTTGAACACACTTTACTGTTTATCACAACAAAGGGCTAAGCAAGTGCGTGACACTGACAAGGTATGCGATAGAGTACGAGACCAAAATAAACTTCAGCATGTCTCAACACAGTAAACAAAACAAGCGTTTCCTAGCAACGACAACTGCGCTAAACACTAATGAGACAAGAAATGAATACACTTACGATATGCTTTTAACTTCCGCTGATTGACTGCTTTTCTCAAAGAGTATTTCTTTACACTGTCTTTTGCTAGTGCTTGAACACACTTTACTTTTATCACAACAAAGGGCTTAGCAAGTGCACTATACTGACAAGGTATGCGATAGATTATGAGACCAAACGCAACTTCAGCACGTCTCAACACAGTAAACAAAACAAGCCAGTAACAGTAAAGTAAACAAAACATTAACTAATGAAACCTTATTGTAAAGTGTTACAATTATTTGTTATTAAAGCATATATTTATCACAACAAAGGGCTAAGCAAGTGCACTATACTGACAAGGTATGCGATAGATTATGAGACCAAACGCAACTTCAGCACGTCTCAACACAGTAAACAAAACAAGCCAGTAAAGTAAACAAAACATTAACTAATGAAACCTTATTGTAAAGTGTTACAATTATTTGTTATTAAAGCATATACGTTCACAAAAACACTGTAAAATTAAACAGAAAAGCAAGCAGGTGTGCATGATTTGGCATGGCAGCCAATACAAATAATTAATAATCATTTCCTTACCTAAATCCTGCGTTTGGAACAGGCTCCGTTGCAGAATCACATCCCTCTGTGCTTCTGAAATTATTATCTTTTTCTATATAGTGTAGTAGTTAGCTATCTCTGTGTCGTACGTGGCCGCTTGTCAAGCATGAAAAACACAAGTTTTATTTTGAATTCTGAATATATTATCGTATACAGCATGCACAGAGCGCTCATTTTGAAATTTATTAAAAACTGTGACTCATTCATCAAGATCTCACAAAGTTCCATTTTAACCAATGAATGTGACAACACAATTAAATTTTTTTGTTTTGTTTATGAAGTTACGAGCATGATCTAGCATGAACTCAGCACTGGACAAAAAGCGGTGACTAGAGCGGTGAGTGCGTGGATTCCAACCTAAACACCTCTGATTGGCCATTGCTTTGTAGAAACCAACAGACATGTCTGTGATTGGCTACATTGCTCACCTCTGCGAAAATGCATTATAAAATAATTTGACGCTTTCCAAAGCAGAAGGGCAGATACACTGTATTGTTTGCCAAATCTATTTCGCTATGCTATTATTACGAAGAAAACAGATCCTAGACCAGGAGTTATGGGCAGCTTTTCCATCTAAAAGCAATCAGTTAGACTATTATACACGCTAAACTAAAGTCCGAATGTCCCCCTTGGCCCGGAGAGGGGGCACAGGGATGTCCGTGGGGAGGCAAAGCCCCCCGCCCCCCTTTTTTTTTTTTAATGCCAAAAATCATTAGAATATGAAGTAAAGATCATGTTCCGTGAAGATATTTTGTAAATTTTCTACCGTAAATATATTACAACTTAATTTTTGATTAATAATATGCATTGCTAAGGACTTCATTTGGACA